ATATTTACTTTTCCTGTTAAAATTGAAAGCATTTTTAAAAGTATTTAAATAATTAGCTTAGCAGTGCTTCTAGTGAAAATAAAACTCAAATTAGCATCAGTAAGGGACATGCATTACTATAGCTTCAAAGAAATTATGTTGAACTGTACTTTTCCCTAGTATTTGACTTCTTGTGGAAACAATTCTTAGTTGTTGATGATTTGTAATAACTCATTAGTTGATCTAAGACCTTCCCTGGAATTTTCTAAATAAAAAATTAAACAACTACAATTTACATGAAAAGACAATTGTGTCTAATAGAAGCTAAATGAGATGCTGATGATTCAATTATAAGCAATCAGTGGAGAGTGATTACTATCAAAGTGACACTATCAAAATACAGCAAATAGAAAAAGCACACAACTCAAGTCTTGGACGTGTAATAGATGCTGTCATAAAACCAGTTAAAATGCTTACTAATATTACACCTCTTGTGGTATAGATCATTAGGTCATACCTCTCATGGCAACCTATTACCCTCTACATGGTAAAATGGCTTAGTCTCAAGTTGTTAAATTTATCTTTGTTTTCTTGCATTTTATGGCTTTCAAAGTGGAGTTCTACCTTTAATGCTTAGCCAAATAATGTAAAATAAAAATGACACATGGGACAAATTGCAGCATATGCCCTCCCAATTCCAGGAGCATGCTCTTTGTCAGGCCTCGTATTTGTAACCTACAAATAAAGGGAGGCACAATAGGCATGTAGCCTTGGATATTGACACAAAAATCCAGTGCAAATTAATTTTGCTACTCAGAAAAACAAGACATAGTAAACATATTTGCTTCTATGCAAGAATGCTGCTACAACCTCTATATGGGTTGCCTGTTTTTAAATCGATTTGTTGCACCAAGTACTGACTTGACTATATATTACAGCTAACATTTTAAAGTTTCTTCTTATTTGTAATATTTTCCTGCATAATTTTTTATGAGTGTGTGCATATTCCTCCTCTTTACTTCATTTGCCTCAGTAATGAATTAGAAATTAGTTTCTATTTGAAAGCCTTTACTTTAGTCGTGTAATTGACTCTAATAAATATCTCTTATTACACAAATTCACATGTAAAATAACAGCATACAAATATAACTTTTTGTATGCTTAATGTGTTTCCTAGCAGCTGTTGTCTGATTTGTAAACTGTATCAAGTTTACTGTAGGTATATCCAGCTGCAGGCAGCTGTAGCTCTTACTGCATCAAACCAGGAATAACTACTTTCTCAGTTTCATTCTGACTTCAGGATTTGAACAGCTGGTGTATTTATCAAGAAACCAGTGAAGTTTTAAAGTGGTTAAATTCTAAAAATTCCCCAGTTTATTGAAATCAATACTTGTTGCAGGTTTCAGTTAAGTTATACCCTGTGTGCTAGGATTTCAAATATTTCTGAAATATCTTAATATGTTTGTTCTTCACATATATATGTATGCTTTTAGACATCAATTCAACAATTTAAAATTTACTAAAGTAATTAACTTTTCCTCCTGTCAGACTGAGGTTTTGAGGGCCCTATGACAGGTAAAGTTATATAAAGGACTCCACGGAAAAAAGCACAGGAATTTAATTTTTTAAAATAAGCAGGGCCTGTAGGCATCAGATTTATTAATAGTGGTAGACTGTGAAATATTTTTACTGAAAGGTTGAAATCTATATCATAGTTCATACTTTCAGCTTTTTAATTGTATGCAGAATTGTACTAGGTTCTTCTACATCATAGTGTGAACTTCTGGAGAAGATGGAGCATGTAATATTTAAAGCTACTAACTCATGGAAAGAAAAGGTAGGCATATTGATCTAGTTGATACTGCAGGCAAGATTTGTGAAGATGGCAGAATATTGAAATTCTGAAGAGCTAAGGAACATCTCAGAGCAGGACTCAGAGCCTGTGAGGAGCTGTTTTGCTCAACTGTAAAGAAGGCATCTTCACATGTAAGGGTCTTATTAGACAAAAGAACTACAACATGCTAATGCAGTTATGCTGATCCTAGTGGATTACCTAGCAATATATGGGCACTAGTAGTACAACCTAAGAAATTATTATTCAGTCTGTGTAGAAGCACAGGATATCAATAAGTGGATCATAATGTTTTAATATACTTTTTTTTCTTCATAGGGAAACCCAGGGCAAAAAGGAGAAAAAGGAAATTCAGTGTATGTTTCGTATTTTGGAAAAGGACCCCCAGTAAGTGTCTGATTGGGAAAAAAAAATATTTTGTAGGAAGAATGCATAGCTAATTCAATTGTTCTCGTATGTCCTCACTGTTTAATAAAACTTGGTGCGTTAAAAAATTAGAAAATTCCAACAACTATTTAAAATCAAAGCTTTTTATGTATTCTTGGCTAAATTTCTGTCTTTACAGGGAGACAGAGGTGATCCTGGCCCCCCTGGTATGCCCGTAAGTACAGCCAATGGATTCTATACTTGCCTTTTGTCTAGGAGATCATTCTGATTTTCCTTCTTCATAAAATAAGGTAATATGGTTTCTCCCTGCCTGCCTCACTAGCAAAATTCCAGGATAAATGCCAACAAAAATAAAGTCCCCATTATCTGCCTCCATAACCAGTTCTTTGCTGCAGAAAGGCACAGAAAGAGACTGCAAACCCACCTGCATTGTGGTTTGCATGCAGGCAGTGACTCTGCATCAAGCAGTTGTTGCTCCTTGTGTGTTCAGAAATGCAGAATATTTATCCTGTGAAATTCAGGATTCCTCAGTAAATATGTAGAGATTTGACAGCTTCTTCAACAGTATCTGCTGAGTCTCCCAAGTCTATATAACACACAACCACCTTTTTTTGCTGTAAAAGCCTTTAAGAAGAAGAAGAGGGTTTAATTTCACCACTGGGCTCTTACAGACTTGTATGACTTTAGTTCATATTGTTGGTCAAAAACGTATTAGCTGATGAGATTCTTCAAGTCCCCATACTGTAGTACAGTTACTATCAAAGTATTCTCTCAATTCATTCATAAAATATAACTGCATCGAACAATATCAGTACACAATCATTCAGAAACCGAGCTGCTGTAAAGGCTGTGAGGTTTCTGGTATGGTAAGCTATAAGAGAGGCATACATAAGTGAAATGCCAGTAAACTGAGTTCAAGCAATGCAGGCATTCAGATAAACTAGTGTTGTGGGGGAAAAAAAATTGTAATCTCTTCATATCTTCACAAACAGGCCATTTGTTGTCTTTTTTCAGGGACCTAGAGGATCGACAGGTACAACAGGCCCACCTGGATACCCAGGCCAACCAGGCATGCCCGTAAGATTATCACAGTTTCTCAGTCTTTCATTTTCAGGATATGCACACCAATTTTAGAAATTGCTTTAATGTGAATCAAAGCCTACACGTAATTATTGAGGCATACAGTAAATAGATATTTTTGCCTTAGTTAGAATTAGAGCATATGTTGCTTCTTCCTATGCCTGTGAAAACAAGTCATACTGGCAGTCCACGGTCACAAGGGAACGCTGTTAGTGCTTTCTCCTTATTCCCCTTCCCTGAAGCCACTTTGTGAAACAGGCAGATGTAGATCCAGAGTTCAGTCCTGCTGAAAGCAGTGAGTTTGCTAAGTAAATTGCACTTTTGATGGGTAGAAATCAAGGAAATTCTGCATCTAGGTGATTTTGGCAAGTGAAGGTAATTCTCAAAGTTCTGCCTCTAAATCAAACATGTCACCTTAACTTGTTCTCATTCTCTTTTAAAGGGTATTCCAGGTTACCCTGGTTTGCCAGGTGAACAGGTAGGCAATGGCTTTTCCTGAAGTATTTAGTGAAATAATAGGTTAATTTTCACAAATACTTAAAATGTTCTTTATGACTACTTGTTACTAAATTTACTTGATTTAAAGTTACTTGATTAAATTCTCATATCAACATTTGCTGATAACCTTCAAACTATATACATTCTTCTGTCAATTAGGGAAATCCAGGTATTGGAGTGGATGGACAAAAGGGGGAGCCGGTAAGGAAAAGAAATAAATATATTTCTATAGTATAAAGAACATAAGTTTATCTTAAGAAAACAAGATTCATTTTTTGAAGATTCCTCGAATGAAATCTCACATTTTTCCTGCTTTGGGTATACACCTTTGAACACAAGCATTTAGATTTTGGGTTCCATGTGTTTAGTTCAGCTTTCTGTCCTGCAGTGATCCTACCTGCAGATCTACAAGAAAAAAAGCAATCCAAGCATCTGCACAGAGTCTCACTGGGTTCCATTAATCCATTTATATGTTATTTATTAACATATAACATTTAACATAGTCCATTAATTTGTGGATGCACGCTCTCAGTGGTCATGTTAGGACAGGAGAATTAATGTGAGCTGTTGAATCAATTAATTCTGTGCAAAAGTAATTACTTCAGTGAGCTGCATACCAGAAACAAGTGTATTTTGGGACCTGAAAGACAACAATCAACACAGTAGATAGCATTCCTCCTATACAGAGACTGCCTAAATAATCACAGCAGAACCCTCCAGTAACAGTGGCTATATCAGATCAGTTCCTTTATCTAATTTCTTGCTGCATCCAGCAACAGATGCTAAAGAAATGGTATAAAGAAAGGATAAGAGCATAATGCTTCCCTCTCCCAGTTTCACTGTTAGCATACTCAGAGTAGATAACTGGAATATTTGATTTTTCTTTTGTGAATTTATCCAGTCACTCTTTACAATCCATGTAAGTTTCTAACATGCACAACTTCCCTTAGCAAATCAATAATTTCATCCACATTCACAAAGCTTTGTGTCAAAGGTTTTAGCCTAGAGCATAAGAGATTGTCATTTATTTCCCTAGCCACGTTATTTTTTAATAAGTGACAAGAATAGAAGACAGTTAAAATTGTTGGCCATACTCATCAGAGAAGACTGCAGAGAAGCTTATAGGTCTCAGCACAAAATCTTGTTTATCTATAGGAATTAGTACAAGTACTTGCTCAACAAGGACAGAAGTACGTACTGCTGTAGTGCAACAGAAAAACATTCCATATCTCACTGAAATGCTGCATGGAACAGAACATCTTTCTGTTGTTCCTTTGGTTTCCACAGGGTGATGTTGGACTTCCCGGGCCACCTGGGTCACCACTGTTAGTTGGACCTCCTGGAGCTCAGCTGTTCAAAGGAGAAAAGGTTTTAATCTGTTTTCACATTTAACTGTGCTTGAATTGGCAAGTGATATCATTTTTGCTAAGGATGAAATAAACAAGACAAATCTCTTGCTTTAGTGTTCATTAATTTTCATCATTAATTTAATATCTTACGTGGCTTTTCAGTAGTTTTCTATTTTTCAGATCTTTGGCATTTTTTTTTTTTTAAGATGTCTCCAGTATAGTGTTTTGAACAGTGAACTCTAATCCTTCTAGGGTGTGCTCTATTGATAGACAAAATAAGTGATTTTGTTGTCTATTTTTAATGCAAGATCCTGTTCACTGTATTTTTTCAGTGACACACCCCTAGTAGCCAGAATTGTATATTTTAAAGTGTGAGAATTTTTGATAAAAGAGTTACAAAACTTATGTTATGGAGAACCCTATAGTAGTCTCTGTGTTTCTCAAGCCTAAATTGCAAATATACAGAAATGAAAACATGAATTTTAGCATTGCCAGCCCTGCAGCATCAACCCAGTCAGCTGATAGCCTTCAAGTACTGAATCTTGGGCTTTCATTATGGAAATGGCCACTATGTACAGCCATACAAGGAAGGGGGAAAGAACCACAAGAACGTATATAAACTCCACATTACTGTTGAATGTGACTAGTGGCATGTTTATGTACTCTACCACGCATCCCATTCAGATTGAGACTGTGTATAAATCCATGCTTTTGCACATGTGAATCCGTGTTTCAAACTATTCAAGCCACAGACAAAAAATAACTACTTTCACATATATTTGTAGGAACAAAGCCCCAATTAGTAAGTCTCTGCAAATGAAAAGATATATCTAACTCAATCCACAGTCATTGTGCTGGTTTGACAGCGTTAACAGAAGAAAAAAATCAGCACTTAATGATTTTTCTTATTTTCATCTGCCTTGTACATTTAGGGGGAAATCCCCAGTAATTCAGACTAGGACTTTGAAATGTTAAACAACACACAAGTATGTCCTGCATGGTCAATACTTTTCCTGTGTGTGTAGGGTCAAAAAGGACTACCTGGGATACCAGGATACAGAGGGCCACATGGACCTAAAGTAAGTAATGGGATTTTTTTCAGTGTTGCTTTTGTTGTTAAGTTAATCTTTCAAAGCACAAGATGATAGAAGAAATAACAGCACTCGTGCATTGGAACTTGATTACTGCCTATATCAAAAATATAACAAAAGCAAAAATATTTCAAAACCCTATGGAAAACCTTCCTGTTTTATACCTACCTATTGAATGTTGCCTGGTTGTGAAAGGTCAGTGCTGTTTTCACTTGGAGTGTTGACACAAATGACTCAGACTGTGAAGAAAGCAGAAGTGCAGATTATTTTTTCTCAAGGAGAGAAATAGAGAAAATCTGTATGTGTTCTTAATGGAGCATGTGTATGTAAGACTTTAGTTTCACATTCTGGGTATCTTCAGAAGTAGAGATGGCAGAGCCACCTGTTTGGAGAGAGGGTTCCTGCCAGTATAATGTGTCTAAACATTAGAATGTCAGTAAGAAGTTCCTCAGTGCTGAGCAGAAACAGCCACAGAACAGATTGTGGTGTCTTTATTGCTGATAGATTTGAAGGGGAGAAATCCACAGGCAGAAAACTACCACATCTCAAAAAAAAAAATAATAGAAGATAACTGGGGACAAAGGAAAGGAACTAGTTAATATTAATTATATTATTTATTCAGTTTTGTAGGCAGAAGAGCAGAAGCGTAAACATCACAATTCTGCATTCAAAGTCTAGCACCCTTTCAGGAAGACATTTTCCATCATGATAGGACTACTGATACTTAGCACTGGAAAAGGAAGCAAACTCCTTTTGTATAAGACTTAGAGAGATGGAGATAATGTGGTTGTTCTAGTACTAGCTGTACCTGTAGATAACTGTACGTTCATTACTCATGAGCAGGATCTAAGGAATTGCCTCATGGGGCCTTAACAGTGTTCAGAACTTAAAAAAAATAACAAACTTCTAAAAGCTTGGTGAAGAGATCATAACAGCTTTCTTGAATAACTGAAGATACGTAGGCACTGCTAGTAGTGCTTGATGAAGTAAGCCCCAGTGTTTCACCCCAACAAGCGAAACAAGATCCGTAATATACATATTTAATAAATATGCACATAGAATAAAATTTATGGCAAACTTTACCAGGTTAAATAAACAGAATGTTTTGAATACTCTAGGGAGTACCTGGGAAAGGAGAAAAGGGTGAAAAAGGCATTCCTGGATTCCCTGGATTGCGGGTAAGGAAGTTCACAAGTCCACCACAGTTACCCTCAGAAAATATCTGGTGGTTTAACTATGCATTTCCAAACAAGATTTCAAGGCTTCTTTTAAACTAATTTATCATACTTTCTGTACAGAATATTTTGCAGTCCTGCTCTGGGATTCACTGTGTCACAGACTTACACACAAGCTCATTCCTTGCTTGGAAAGAAAGCAAATCTGTATGGTTACCTTTTAAATATTCAGTGCTGCATAAATTCTTAGAAGTAGCTCAATTCTAATGTACCAATTTTAATCTATTCCATACCTGACAGTGGCAGCTTTTTTGACAGCAGCTTGTTCATGACGTGCATAACAGTACATACATGGAGCAATATATATATTACTATATTTGCTGTAATGCAACAAAAATAAATGAATATTCATCTGGTTTACTTTGAGCAGTAGTTCAAAATTCATGCCCACTTCTCATAAAATATTTGCAAAAACTTTGCAAGTGTTAGCTATTGGTAGATATGATCCCAAGTAGTAAATACGTAAGGAATATTAACTGCTTAGCAATACCATACAGGTCTAACTTAAATAAGTTTTTACTGTTTTAACTCGCATTGTTTTTATCAGGGTAGCCCTGGTTCTGACGGACCTGCAGGTTTTCCTGGAATAAAGGTAAGACAGCAAAGTAGAGCAGCTCACTTTACAGCAACATCAGTGAGGTTTGATTTTCTGTTGATTTGTGCAGATTTGCAATTTCCTCATGCTTGATAGCTCACATTGCTTAACTTCCTTTTCCTCCTGTTGCCACAAAAGTTCTATGAACTGTGTTGCTGAGTTTCTGCTGCTCTCTAAAATTTGACTGAATTCAGAGCCAAAGTCGTAAGTATGAAAGGAAGCTAGTGGGCATGCAGATTGTACGATAGAAAAGTTACACAGCATAGTAACTTTGGTTGCCATGGACATAAAAGGTGTTACAAAGGGAAAGAAAGACTGCTTACTGAACTCTGAAGATCTAGGCTTGCACAGAAAACTGTACAAGGGAGGGAACTGCAACCAGAGACCCTTCCTTCAGGGCAGTCAGCCCTTAAATGAGCTCTTAGAGAAGTGCAGCCAGGCTCTATCCCTTCTGGTCACACCCATGAACTGCCTTCACCTGTATTCCCAAGGCTGACCAGGTCCTTTGTCCAGGTGCTCATTCAGTGGTTCAGGCCGTGACTCAACTGTTACCATTCAAGCAGGCAGCAAGCCAATTTCAACTGTATTAAACAGTCAGAGTTTTCTGGTACTTGTTCCAGCTAGTTCAGTGTCTCAGCTACACTGAACCAAACTGACCGCTATGTAAATAACCTATAGATTTTTAAATTAAAAAAAAATTACAGAGGAGATTCTGTAAAGCATGTAATCTCTTGTACAAAACCAGTGAATTTCTCTGGAAAAAGCAAACGACTATGAAAGCTATTATAAGTAAACAGTATTGCATAACTGTCTCATTAACTTATTTTCAATTAATTATATTAATGTGTAAACGATGGTATTTATGATCCTTTCCAGGGAGAAATGGGTATTGCTGGTTTTCCTGGGAGACCTGGCTATCCAGGCATCAAGGTAAAAATCAAACAAACAAACAAACAACAACAACAACAAAACCTAACACATACACACTTCCCTATATAAATGCTAATGATTCCCCAAATCTACCCACTTATTAGATGATCATCACCTTTTCAACAAACATAATTACTTATAAGATTTACTGTCTGCAAGACACTCATAACAAAGGTAATAAATAGCAAAGAGTAAAGATTTCTGCTTGATGCATGTGAGAGTGAGAATTCCATGGACTGATTTTTATAGAACTCTAGTTTTAGCAGCAATTTAGGGTTATTTATACCCTTAACAATACCTTAAAAGTATAGCCATCTAATCCATGAATTATAGTACTATGAAGGTTATTTATGGTTAAGATCCTGAGAGTAGTATACAGGTAAAGGAACCTGCTATTTAGGTAGCTGTAAGATCCTGTAAAATTTGGTCCATGAACTAGTATGATAATTGGCACAAAATGAGGCTGCAAACTTTGAGTCAGGTTGATGGACTAGTTTGTGTGAGTTTTATTAAAATAACAAATGGTCTTTACAGGCAGTTTAGAATGTTCCTGGTGACTCACTGGCTGGCTATAGAAACTTACAGAATAGTTTTTAATGCTTAATGGGGATATCAACCAAGAACTGACATTTTTTTATCTTGGCTTAGCAACTCTTCTCTTTTGCCTGTGTTAAGCATGCGAGTTGTGCAAGACATGGGTAATATGCACCCATTGTACAAATCTTTGTTACTTTTATCATCATTACATTAATTTTTAAATCTCAAAATACTACACAAGCTTACGAGAGGAGGAAATTTTTATGTTTTAATTTCCCTTTCCTGCTGCAAAAGAAGATTTTTTATATTATTAGGGAAGACAAGTATACATTCCTGTTTAAGATAGCCCAAAAGTACACAGTTATGTTAGCTTGTTCAGTAAGATACAGTCAAATGGAAAAGCTCAGACAAAAGTCTGAAAGTTTAAGAAGCCAACAACTGACACCGCCGGTACTGTATAAAAATCATAGAAATATCAATTTTAAAAAGGGGAAGTACATAGACAGGCATAGACTGCTTGGTTTTACTCAGACAAGGATGGGCACCTAGTCTTGCAGTCTCAGTTCTCCTTGCCAATGTCCTAAAATGCCCTGAGCTCCAGCCTGAGGAATGCTACATAACAGTAGCAGTTCCCAGATTCACATTCTTATTTTCTCAGTTCCCATTTGCTGCAGACAGAAGAGCCAATTCCTAATCTACACCAAAGCAAAAAGTGTAATGCAATTTGCCACATAAAAGACTTCCCTAAAGTCCACGTCAGTTGCAGTTCTAAATATCAGAACCCAGGCTAATTTAGAAATCCTCCAAGCACAAGTGATTTTCCTTGCAGTTAGTAGACATTTATGTTTCCCTGATGCAGATGTTTTAAATTGTTTATTAAAACTTTGAGCATCTTTTATCATTAGTAATATCTGTCAAATTGAAACCTCTTTTCTTAGTGCTTATCTGTCATCATAAAAGCAATTTCTAAATTCTAATATAGAATTTTAAATTTTAATATTTGCATCTTGGTTGTTAAAACATCTCAAACGTGGTGATGATTATACTGTATTTGATTTCTCTCATATACCGTAAAGTTGAGTCAGATGTAAGAAGTTGCAAGTTCTAAAAGGCCAAATAGATGAATGTGATAGTTACATTAAGTCACTGGTATTCTGAAAGATAATTATTTTATACCTTGTTGCCCAGATAATATGAAAATGTTACATTCTTTTCGTACTTCAACATTGTTGAAATTTTTAGTTGCTTGCTAGGGCACTGCATGCTTATGGCTACCAGTAAAATTTGCTGTTGGATTCTTACAGGGGGATCCTGGAGAAAAAGGGCCCCCAGGTCCTCCTGGAGCTATTGGAACTTCACTGCTTCCTGTGAAAGGTTAAAGCTAGTATTAACTACTATTTCTATTGTATAAAGTTTATGAAGACCTATTTTGCTAAGGTGTTAGAAAGTAATCTCTAGGGACAAATCCTGAACATTATCTTCTAGTTTTGTTTGTGCCTCACTGATCTTTAAACATGTTAAATATACTTGTTTCAAATTAAATGTTACTTGAAAGATCTTTATGCATACAGCCACAGATAGACCTGCTAGACTGTCCCTAGTTATTGGGCCATGGCTTATTTAGGAAAGAGCTCTGAAAAATAAGCCCATGCTGGGTAATGGAGACAAACAAGAAAATCAGGCTTCACATTGTAGTTCAGAAATCCTGTGTTCAGAATTGCCACAACACACATATTTTAGACTTCAATTAAGCCTCTTAGTGCATAGCAGGGGTGAAATCCTGGTTCCTGAGTTTGGGGAAAGCTAATTCCATCAGGATTTCATCACTGAAATCCATTGAAGTCACTAAACACTGCATTTCCAGGCTATTCTCATTTTGTGTCACTGTTTTATGCAATATTGCAAACATAAAAAAAAAAAAAAAAAAGGAATATTTCAGAGTTTCATAAGCCATAATTTCCCCCTCTACTTCCTGAATATGCATTTTTTTCTTACTAATCTATTATAGACAGATGCAGAGAAATCACTTTTTATACATTTCTCATGCTAAATTGTATGTATATGGCAGTGCAAGATGATCTATTCAAAAATCTGGATTTTCTGGACAGCAATATCAGCAACACAAGAGCATGTGTTCCGTGGTTGTACAGCACATCCAGAAGAACCAAAGTTTTTGGAAAGTACTGAAGCTGCTGTGCACACTACATAATCTGTAAATGTACTAGGTCCTATGATTCCTGGAAGCATCAAGTTTGCATTATTTGTATAAAAAGGCACAGACAAACTATGGTTGGCTGCAAAAAAGATTGATCAACATATTTTATTTCCACCTTAGCAGTGTATTATCACTCATTAATACAAACTGTAATGGTAAGGTTGTAAAATACACGTTCCCAATTTGCCTGCCTAAGATCTGCATCTGTGTCTGGTGTGTATTATCAGTTAACACCAGCTGGTAACCTGGTTCCTTGAAGGAAGGAACATATGTATTATCTTTTCCTTCCTCCTCCAACTTCCTAGCATCTTTTCCCTACTTGCCTAGAATTAGTACTCTCAATAGAATACCTCTCAATCTTATTGCCTTCCTACCAAAACCTAAGGCTGTGATTTTAAATCTTCTCTCTTTTTCACATCTTTATTATATAATTGGCAATAATGTGTGGAAGTTTTTACTTCCTACACAGCAGGAGACAGTGGGGAGCAGCCAAGCATGCTGCCTGGAAGCGATTTGTTTTGGCATCTCAAAGAGAACCTGTATGGTAGGAACATTTTAACAAAGAACTTCCCATAAATTGTATTCCTAGTGCAGTAGATGCTGATTATGAGCAGCAAAATAAATCACAACACAATCATGGTTTAGCAGAACCTCCCCAGTAGATAGGAGCTTCAACAAAAATCAACTGAAATTGTCTTCCATTGCCTTCTATGCTTTTCAAGCTCATGCAGCAAAGGATTTAAGCCCATGCTTAATTCTAGTATCTCAAGTAACTTTTAATGTTAATTATGTGCATGATGTGTGAGTAGATACTGAAATATTCTTATATTCTTCAGAGAAAATGTCATTTATCAGAATTGTTTGAAAACAGAATGCCAACATTTTGTTTTTTGTTATATTCATTATTCATTCCATTTCGTTAAGCCCTTTATATCTGATTTAAGTATTCTTTATCACAAATTAATTACAAAAACATATATCACAGCAATTTTGAAAATAAACTTTTTTAAGTTTGGGTATTTTCCAGTAGGAAATTTCCTG